GAAGTACAACAACCCAGCACCGCCTGTGTGTTCCACCCTGACAATCGTTACCGTCTCCGAGTCTGTTATGTAGCCACTGTGTCGTTTCATCTCATTAAAGGGCTTCCGCTTTTTTTGCTGACCCTCAATTTTACAAAACATGATAGTGTTCTCCTGGTACGGGTTCCTTTTGTTAACATGTCTGAAGTATGTGAGACCTCGTCTCTCCAGCCTCATTGCTAAGAAGCATTTTCTGTCTACTTATTCCAAGACAGATGTCTTTTTTCTTCTGGCAGCCCACAGTACGTTTCACTATTCTTTGCCTACATTATGATTCAACATCATTGAGTCTTTGACCTTCCTTATTCATTGCCCAGTTTTTGCATGCATACAAGATGACTGAAAATAGATTTTTATAGACCTTGTATTTTAAATTAATTGTCCTTTTGAGTAAATAAAGTCTTTATATTAAGTATTATATTTGCTTTCAGAGCAAGTGACTTGGAGATCAATTATTTCAAGGTTAAACAAGCTTGGAATAGTAGTTGGACATTAATGTGGTCACATAGTTACAGAACCATACATGAGCAAAATTATTGTTCGTTATTTTTAATGTTTTTTTCTTTTGCAGAAAGTATTAATGAAGCTTAGAAAACCTAGAATTACAGCTACAATTTGGTCCTCAGGAAAGATTATTTGCACTGGAGCAACAAGGTAAACACTTCTGGAGTTTTTAATTTTTCAGATTTTCCCCTTGTGAAAAGGACTGTTTTCCTAGACTTAAAAACAAATGCATTAAGTTTTATAATACTCCCAGTATAAATTTTATTTTTGTGTGTAACTGAAATTTTTTTTTTTTAGTGAAGAAGAAGCTAAATTTGGTGCCAGACGCTTAGCTCGCAGTCTGCAGAAACTGGGTTTTCAGGTAAAATTAAAAAATAAGGACAACAACAACAAAAACCAAACTGCAAATATTTAATTAATTAAATTAGTTTTTTATAAAATTGGAATTTGTCGCCTATCCTTCAATGTCCTTTCCTAGTCTCCAGTTTGTGGTGTCTTTGTACAGGACCCTGACTTTGGCCCACTCCCTTTAGCATAGAGACTTGTTTCCTGGAGGGCTCGTGGACCTTTCCACTCTTGGGTGGTTTGCACTTCTGGCACAAAGCCACATTTTTCACCCTCTCAGACTGGAAGGTCAGGATGGTGAGCGTCAGAACCTGGTGACACGTCCATGCTTGTCGGCAGGCTCTCACACTTGTCAGGTGACCATCTGCTGGCATGCTGGCCTTGTGCAATATGAATTCATAAGGGCTTCAATCTGAATAGAATCATTACAAATTATGAGCTTCCTAAGGTACTTGTGAATGATGAGTTCATTAAAAACAGCACTAAATAAATAAGATGATTTTGTTCTTTTTATTTTCTTAAGGTTTCAAATCAATTATTGAATTTGATGAACCAACTTTCTATTTTAAAATAATTCATTGAGTTTTCCTTTTCTCCTAAAGGTAATATTTACAGATTTTAAAGTTGTTAATGTTTTGGCAGTATGTAACATGCCATTTGAAATCCGTTTGCCAGAATTCACCAAGAACAATAGACCTCATGCCAGGTATGGCTCTGAAGAATCAAAATGACATCCTTTATTCACAGTTACTTGTCCATGGTTATAAATATGTATAGTAACTGTTGGTGTTTGTTTTTGCTTTTTGGTACAGTTATGAACCCGAGCTTCATCCTGCAGTGTGCTATCGAATAAAATCTCTGAGAGCTACATTACAGATTTTTTCAACGGGAAGTATCACAGTAACAGGTATGATGTTGAAGCTAAGCTGGTCATATATGGATTCATTGTAGTGAGAGATGCCTATACCGTCTGATTTGTTCTCGGCAGCTTCCTCTGCCCTTCAAGGAAGCCATTCTCCTAACTTTCAAGTCTGTAGATTGTTTTATTTGCTTTTATACTATTTATGAATCTATATAGAAAGTTGGGAGAAAAACACGACTTTCTACTCCCATGAAGAGGTCCAGTCTTGGAAACCCATAGGGGTCGTCCTGCCTTGCCCTTCTAGGGACTCTCTGGGTCCGAATTGACTTCATAACAGTGAGTATATGTAAATTATTTGTGTCTGCCTATTTTCATTCACAATTACTATAGTGCAGTCCATCCTTGTTATTCTGGGAAATTGATGGTCGTTCATTCTCACTGTTGTTTAGAATCCAGCATGAGAGTTACTGTCTGTGGGCACTTGGTAGTTTCCAGTCTGGGCTGTTGAGCCTGTTCTCGTTGATGTCTACATACGTACTCACTGCCTTCTAGTCAGTGCTGACCCGTAGAGACCCTCTGGGCAGAGTAGAACTGCCCTGGTGTTTCCGAGGCTGTAAATCTTTACTGGAATCGAAATCCTCAGCTTTCTCAGAGCGGCTTGGTGGATTCAAAATGTGTTACCCAGGAAGTACACCACCAAGGTTCCCTAAATATCTCCATAGCATGATTAAAATTTTTTTTCTTGATAACTTGTATTACAAATACTGAAGATTGAAATATTTTATGCACTTCTTAGAAGTTTTAAGGGAAAAATTCAAATATACAGTTGATTACTTATTTGTTATATGTGTTTCATAATAATCTTTTGAGTCTTTAAGTATTTGGAAGGAATAGTAACCAAAGAAAAGTAGTTGTCTATCTGTTTTGTTACTCCTTCCTTTCATAAGCATTTTATACAGTTTCTTATTTTGATCCATGAGAGTTTGAATACGGTTTCTTTCTTTCTTGATTTTCTTAAAATTGCTTCAATTGTAGGGAGAAATATTTGATTGAAAAAATAGTAAAGTGGAAAGAGTTGTGTTTGGAAACATATTTTCATGTAGCCTGTGGTAAATTATCAGGGCCCAGATAGCCTGCTAATCAGGCAAGGAACCCAGATTCACTGAAATCCCCGTTTAGAATGTAGTTTTGTATACACAGTGAAATCTTTGAGAGCCAGAACTCAACAGGACTGCCCCAGTTTTCCAGGTCTTGAAACTTTCCTGCCTTTGACAGAGGGTGGTCTTGCCACTTTGTTATCACTTATTTTCATGGAAGATGTTTATTTTCACTTTCCGACTCTGACAGGCTTCCTCCTGGCACTAGTTCCAGCTTTCACAGGTTCTACTGTACTGTTTTCAGACTGGTGACCTATTTGAGATGAATAACATCAGTTATGTGTCCTAGATTTCCTTCAATCAAGAATGTTGCTTTTAAAAAAATCCTCTTGGTTCTTAGTATAACTGTGTGTCTAATAATATACGTGTAGGTTTAAAGGGGGAAAAATAAACAAAAAAAAAATGAAGCCTCTGCTGTTCTCTACTGGGGAGCTCCGTTACCCAGTGCTCTCCCCCTCGTCTCACCCTCCCTCCTGTGTTTGTTGCAGGCCCCAATGTAAAGGCTGTTGCTGCTGCTGTGGAACAGATTTACCCATTTGTGTTTGAAAGCAGGAAAGAAATTTTATAATCCGCCGTGTCATTGGTTAGCATCCCTAACTGAGCACCTTTTGAAATCTGCTGCACATTGGACTCAAAACAAAAGGAAAACTGGACCAACAGTGACTGAGGAAACAGACTCGGATTCCCCCGCGGCGGCAGTGCACGCTCCTGGCCGCAGGAGTTTCATTCAAACCTTGCTGTAATATAAAAGGGAAGTTTACAAGACATGACGTTGCTGCTTTTACAAAAGGACATTCTATTTATTTTCGCAGTAATTCTCATGTCCTAAGCAGAGCTGTCACAGTGTGCACTACCTGAAATTGTTTTATCGTTGTCATTGTTATTTCTTTTCTCCAGTTTGAGCTAGTGTGTTTTATTTGTGAACAGTCTTTTACATTTTTGTATGCTGAATATGGGCACCAAAGAACCTGTACAAGTTATCTTTTTCAATTGAATGTGCACAAATAAAAATTTGGAAAAGATCTCTCCATATCCATTCTAGAACTTTTATTCCCCATTTTCTATTTTAACAAAATTGTATTCGTAATTTTTTTTAAACTATGCAAGCTTAGATTTTTGCTGAAGTGTTAGCTTCTCTTTGAAGTGTATTTTGTATATATATAGAGATAGCTTATGCCATGTGTATAGTAACTCTTTAATGCTCTGTTACCAAATATCAAATAGGAATTTGTTTCTTGCAGATTAGAAATGCAAACATGTATATAAGCCGGAAGGAACCCAGTAGAACTTTATAGATAAAGCATAATGTTTTATGTTGCTAATTTAATATGATAGAAAATGTTGAATAACTTTTGACAGTTAAGAAAATTGTAGTTTTTAATAAGAAAAAACTTCTGTCCACAAACAGGATATATGTGAGAAGAAACTGTGATGGCTTTTCCCTCATGTGTACCTTGGTTATTCTGCAAAGGGATAGTCACAGGAAACTGACTGAGGTTCTTGACTCATTAAACTTTGGCTGGTGCTCAAGGCAATCCTAAGAGTCTTTTCCGAAGTTGATAACATTGTGTTGTTTTAACAAATGCCCACAAGCTGCCTCTGTGCCACAGTGTATAGCTCAGCTTGAACTTGAAAAGTCCTTTTGCGAGATGTCTTTCCGTTTGCTGTGTTTCCTTTAATGGCATTATAGTGACTGTTCAGTGTAGTACAGAAAGTGGGATGACTACTCTTACCCGTTAGGGAACTCGTGTTTATGATGCTGTCTTTATGGGCTCCCTGAGGCCCGTGATGGTAATGGATGCTCTTGCCTCAGTCAAAGCAACAATGATGTTACCGAGTGGGGAGCTGAATTAGCTTCTCGGTAGGCACGTGGGATCAGCAGACGGTGACCACTGCACGGAATGCTACATATTATGTTTCTTCTTCTCGATGCCTCCCAAGTCTCCACCCCACCTCCCCACGCCTTAAACGTGGACTCAAATGATGGGTTTTGTATCTTCTTTCTTGTAAAAGACAGGATTTTCCTGTCTTTGTTGTTTTTCT